TCTGGTGTCGACGTGCTTCGAAAGGATGCGAACTTGTTCGCAAAGCCACGCGGCGAGAAGACTCGCAGGCAGATGATGCTGGACCACGCGTGGAAGAAGCGCATCGACGAGGGCTACCTTCTCCTTGGCGACTTGCGCGATGGTGAGTTCCCCGGAGCTAAGCGCCAGACGGCCATTGACGGCAATGGCTGGAAGGTCACTGTCACCGACCCCGATGAGATCGCACACATGGACGCCGTGGGCGATCCGATTGTGGCCACGCAGGAAGAGATTGATGCCGCAAAGCTGCTGCCATTCAACCAAAGGCTCTACAATATGCCGCGGGGGACCGCTGGCCCGGGATCTTTTGCTGGCGTTCAGGACTTGCCAGATGTGCCAACTCCGTCCGCAGACGATCAGCCTATATATGGAGAGTGTGGATGAGCCAGAGGTCATTGAGATCGATGACACGTTCGCACCAAATGCTGATTCGCCTCCGGGGACGGAAGGCCGAGATGAGAACAGTCAAGATCCGATCACCGCTCCCGGAATGGAGTTCGTCTCGAACACTACCCCCATTCCCAAAGAGGGCGACAACGAGGTGGAACCGGCTCCACTTAGGGAAGAAGGCGAGCTCGTGGTCTCCAATGATCCGCTCGACGATGAGGGCTACGTCGATGACCGGGTGAGGTCATCAAGGGTCACATTCAGTTGGCAGTCAGACAGGGCTTCCAGAACGTTGATCAGCCAGATGATGACCCTGATGAAGAGATCTTGTTCAAAGAACCGATTCTCACTGCAATTCCATTGGAGATGAGGCAGGACTCATGCCAAGTTGCCGGGGTGACGTATCAGCTGAGGAAGAACTCCGATGAAAGCGACATCATTCGTCCGCAACGAGGTTGACCTGGGCTATATAGACAATCCAACGTTGCACAAAGGACACTATCATCCACAAACGACACTATTGGAGTCAAACGTTGTCGTTTGCATCCGAGAGTCAACGTTTATCAAGTGATCCTTTCATGATGATCGGTCATGGGCGGTTAAAGTCTGTTACATTTTTTGAGATGCCCGACGCGGCAAAGGAAGCGTAGAGGACCTTTGCAAGAAGAAATTGAGCAGATAAATAGAAAACGACAACGGCGCAAATGGCCACGTTGCAAAGGACCACGGTGCAAACGATCACGGTTGCATGGACCACGGTGCGTCCAAGGACCACGGCGCAAACGATCACGGTGCAAAGGACCACGGTGCAAACGAACACGTTGCAAACGACCACGGTGCAAACCATCACGGTGTAAGGGATCACACCACATGTGCGCAAAGGAGAAAAGGCTACTATAGAGCAGCTGCCAAAGTCAGGTCGAGCAAACACAGTCTCAACCCATGGCCCAACATGAAACCTCACGATTTATATATATATATATACGTATATCGTTCCTAGTTTTTGGGGAGGAGGGACCTGCGCGTGTGTACCGCCGTTTGTAGTACAGTTTTTTTTGCTTCCAGAACAAGAAAAATGAAAAAACTACAAAGACCCAGGGACATGGTTGCGAAGAGAGGTTCTTTGCACGCTTTGTTTCTTGTTTCACAGGCGTTTCCCGCCGTGGCTCGTGGGAAGGGTTGCAGACCCAAACCTCACACTACAAGTAGACTAAGTAGAAGACAGCAGCAACAGGAACTGAACGACTAACTACTACTAGTAGAAGACAACATCAACAGAAACTACAAACACCGAAGCAGCACAAACAAACTTCCCATTGAGTTGTGATTGCTCGCACGACTTGTCATGATAAATGCTGGTGACAGCATTGTTCTTTAAACATCATTTCTTCCCAGAATGATCTCTAGAACCTAGAAGTAGATCGGCCGCCCGCCCGGGCCGGTATGGATGTCTCCATGGAGGCCATCTGACCTTTTTTGCGCCGGCGATTCGGCACGTTCAGCAAGACTAGTTTCAGCTAGCTTGGCCACACCCCGCGAAACACCTGATGGGAATGTATCTAAGTCTTGAGCAAAAGTTGTAACAAGAGTTGTGTTTGAGGTGACTGTGCAAAAAAGGTGTCATGTAATTTTCAGGAGGACAGTTTCTATTCCCACCGGGCTGCTGTCTTTTCAAACTCATTTAGGCAAACAGCTAAACACAGCAAGTATCGCTGTAGCACTCTTCGAGTGCAGCTGCGTCCGTGGCAGCGGATTGCAACACTTTTGATCTTGCCCAAAAAGCTTTCCTCGCTAAAGTTGTGAAAAATTGATGGGTTCACCCGAGTCCTCACGATATCTTCCCCCATATGGAAGTGATAGTGCGTTTTGCACCGGAGCTTGAAAAGTAGTTCTCTTTTGGAATAAAAGTGAGCAGCGAGCCAGTAATATGACTTTAGGTGAGCATCTAAACATGCCTTCGACTCACGTGCTTCCTCAGCGGTGAAGATTATACCGCTCTGGTCCATCAGTTCGATGAATCTCTGGAGGCCAAAGACACATGCCGCAAGGACATTCAGGACGGGTTCCTGGGCGCCGAGCGGCGGTTCACAAAGGAGTCTGGTAGGGGTCACAGAGATACAGGACAGTTCAAACCAAAAAACAGGAACAGCTCTTGAGTTGGTCGCAATCAAGTATCCGATGGGTTCGCGTCGGCCACTACTTGGCACTCTTTGGACAGCCACCAAATGATTAGTTTCACATGGGATGCTTTGAAACGAGACCCCAACTCAAAGTACCCGTCTTCGCCACCAAGATTTGCTGCAGTGAACTGTGGTTTGGAAGGCATGGCAATCCTTGAGCAGTGAAAGGAAATGCAATCAACATGTGACCTAGGTCAAATACGAAACACACCACACACCTAAGATCTCAAAGGTTTGTTAGCTAGGTCGGGGATCCTGTGCTGGGCACAAACAGATCGCATTCGCTGGTGAACATCAGCATAAACAGCGTCCATCCCCCCGAATCATTGCCACCACCGAATCCACAGTAGTCAACCAAGACCTTGATGGCACTGGCACAAAGATCTCTACCTGTTCCGAGGTAGCAATTGTGCATCCAGTCATAGCTGATGGTATGGAAATGAAACCCCGGCATGTCCTTCCAAGGGGAAAGTGAGTCCTGGTCCATGTTCATGTATGTCCTATGGCTGACGCCAGTGAGCTGCCAGACTGAAGACTCGGTGATGTTGCGGTAGTCCAAATTGGGGGAGCAACGTCCCCCCTGTAAAGCCAAACAACGGTCGCACATCCTTGCAGCACTGGCTGTTTACCCAAATTTCCTTTCCCCTGAAAGTGGAACTACCGACAAATAGCAAACTTTGCCAAAAGAATTGTTCTTAGTGAACAGGGCACTGGTTGCACTGGTAATACCTCTCCAGGAAATGCATCTGGTGCCGAGCCTTCAAGTCGGCCTTGAATGCAAAGAAGCATCCCCTCAGCGAATGAAGGCGATGTCACGGCGATGTTTGTGGTCATATGAAAAACTTAAGTCTATTGTTGGTGTGGCCCAAAAAGAGGAAATCTTTCAAATCCAGAATAGTCTCTTCCATCCCTTTGCCAACTCCTTCCCAATCAACTCAGCCCTGGGAGTTTTGTCAAGACATTCATCGTGGAAACCCTTGGCAGGACCGATTCCACGACTGGAGATTGCTGTTGACCATGAGGCGAGCTCTGCGATGGTTCGGTGAACTGCGTTGCGGACATGGTGGCTTTTCATAAACCTCTCTGGTATGATGCACAATGGGAACCTGTACAGAAGCACATCTTTGATTGAACCCTGCCCTCCAAATACGCTTGCAAAGCTCCAAACGAAGAACTCATCCTCTCTGTAAAATTGGGCCCCATCCCCATGATAGGTGAAGCCGATCAATCGACTCAAGGGTGAGCCATGTTGCAACGAAGGGTGGTCTCTCCACGGCTCGCAAGTCCGAATGTGTTTCCAGAAGCCCACACGGGCTTTGTCGTTTAGGTTTCCCAGCATGATCGATTCGAAAGCAAAAGAACTTGCGTTGGAGAGGGCGTGCAACACTTCGTGAGGTAACAGGACAGGGACTGCAGTTCGATGAGTCTCACCCTGCCCTCGAACCTCAGCTACAGGGTTCCACCTAAAAGACACTAACAAGGCCCAAAAACTGGAAGCACCCAAAAGATCTCAAAAGAATAACGGTTGTTCATCCAGACAAAGAAACTTCCAGGTCACAATAGATAGTGTATGGCTCCAATTCAAGCCCCCACAGATTTTTCATCCAGCGATGAAGATCTCTCTCTTCGTTCGCCGGGTGGGATCCGCTGCATCCCAGGCTCGCGAAGGCCTGGATAGCCTCGTGCGGCATCCCAAAATCATCAACCTCCGCTGGAGAAGGATTGCCGGGAAGCTGTCACGTGAAAGATAAAGCCAAAATAAGCCAAAGCTGACATAACATACAGAAGCAATTGCAAAAGTATTTGAGATCACTTGAGGCTAAGGTGCAACGTTCCTAGCTATCTCAGCTGCTGCATGGATGCTTACAAAACCTCTTCCAATCATCTCTGTGAACTTGTTCACGGTTTTGGACTCTTTGAGATGTTCCAATCTTTGGCGTTTCCTGCCACCGATCCCACTTTCGACAAACATGTTTCTTCGTTTCTTGACTCATGAACACACCTCTGAGGCACGCCCTTCGTATCCCTTGGTCCTGGTTGCAGTTTGCTGGACGAAGGACTGCTCGCCTGGCCCGGTTGGGCTGAGCCAGGGAAAGGGATTGATTTAGGTTTGATTGTGAATGGCAATTGCTTGATGAACCATTGAGACATAAAGATACAAGAACAAGGCATCAGTTGTGCATGAGAAACTAAATACACTGACAGATTAAATTGCCTGCAGCTGATCAACACAAAGCACTTGATTTCACGTTCGCGTACGTAGTCTGAGCGTCCACTTATGGGGACCCGGGCATGAAGCATTAAGGGCCCACGTTTCAAAAGAGCCAAGTGTTCACCACTTGGAACCCCCCACACATGAGAGCCCAACCCTCTCACGATCAGAAGAACTATAGCTCACTTCTTTGCTTTAGTCTTGACCTTCTTTCCACCCGAGTTCTTCTTTGGTTTCTTTTGCTTTCCGGGCTTCAAGAATGCTGCCGCTGCAGCCTGGCACAGTGGTAACAAGTACGGAAGCGATTCACCTATTTTGCAGATCAAGCAATGAAGAAGTGCGACAATCTTGTACGGAAGCGATTCACCTATTTTGAAGATCAAGCAATGAAGAAGTGCGAC